GGGGGTGCTGAGCCTGCGGGTGCTGAGCCTGGGGTTGCTGAGCCTGGGGGTGCTGAGCCTGGGGGTACTGCGACTGGGGGTGCTGAGCCTGGGGGTGCTGAGCCTGGGGGTGCTGAGCCTAGGGGTACTGCGACTGGGGGTGCTGAGCCTGGGGGTGCTGAGCCTGGGGGTGCTGAGCCTAGGGGTACTGCGTCTGGGAGTGCTGCGTCTGCTGCTTCTGTTCCTGGTGGTTCGAGCCGCGAGCCGCTCTCTCCTCTGGAGCTGCGTGAGTGGTTTGCCCGGCGCTGGAGGCGCGCTGCTGGAGCTGAGGGTGCTGCGGGTGCTGGAGGTTCTGTTGCTGCTGAGGGAGCTGGTACCACGGGTCCCGGAGGTGCTCGTACTGAGAGTACTGGAGCTGCCGGGCCCGGGGGTGTCTCTGGAGCTGGAGCTGCTGCGGGTGCTGGCGCTGAGACTACGACTGTTGGTCCTGCTGAGGGTACTTCTGGCGCTGCTGGAGGTACTGGGGTTGGAGCTGCTACTGGTACTGGTGCTGCCTCTGGAGGTGTTGGTGCTGTCCCTGCTGTCTCTGGCGGTGCTGCGCGGCCTCGGCCGTACTTCGTTCCGCTCCTTCAGCAGGTTCTTGGTCTCCCGCCTTCCACTGGTCCTTCTCCTCCCGTAGAGTGTCCACAGCCTGTTCAGTCCCAGTCACAGTTACAGCCAGCCTCTCCCCTGCCTTCTCCTTCTCCCTACACTGGTCCTACTGGAGGTCCTGCTGAGCGTCGTGAGCCTGCGTCCCGCCCTGTGTCGCCAGTCCGAGCTGCTCGCCCTAGTGGTCGCGGTTCGCGTCAGCGTCCTCCTCCTGTCCCTGGCACACACATGATGTCTCTGCGTCCGTCCACTGCTCCTCTGCGTGCCCCTTTGCCTTCTCCTCCTGAGTCTTCTCTTCCTACTCTTGCCGACCCGGAGTCGGACTCTCGCCGTGCTGCCAGTCCCACTGTCACGCGTCTTCTTGCTTCTCTTGTCACTGACCCTTCCTTTGAGTCCGCTGCTGCGTTTGCCCTAGTTGCTGAGCTGGTCGACTTTGCTGCTACGTGTTGTCTAGACTAAGCTGCCAGTCTTGTTGCTGAGTCTGCTGAGACTGCTGAGTCTGCGTCTGCTGCGTCTGCGTCTGCCTGTCCTCCGTCCGTCGGGGGTGACTGTGCTCTTGGCACGGACGTCCTTGAGGACAGGCAGGAGGTGTTCCAGTGCTTTGCCGCCGCTTTGCCTCATCTCGTGTCCATGCTTGTTGCCCCTGAGGGAGACCCGGATGCTCTAGACATCCCGACCCCACGCTCTTACGCAGAGGCGATGGCCGGTCCCTACTCCTCTCAGTGGCAGTCAGCCATGGACGCAGAGATGGCTTCCTGGAAGTCCACAGGCACCTACGTTGACGCTGTTCCCCCTCCTGGGGCGAACATTGTCAGTGGCATGTGGATTTTCAGGGTGAAGCGGCCGCCGGGTTCTCCGCCTGTCTTCAAGGCGCGCTACGTGGCTCGTGGCTTCAGTCAGCGACAGGGAGTTGACTTCTTTCAGACCTTCTCCCCGACCCTGAAGATGACCACTCTTCGGGTTCTGCTGCACGTCGCTGCTCAGCGTGACTACGAGCTACACTCTCTTGACTTCAGCACTGCTTTCCTGCAGGGCCTCCTGCACGAGGAGATCTGGCTGCGCCGCCCTCCTGGTTTCACTGGGTCGTTCCCTCCTGGTACCCAGTGGAGCCTCCGGCGGCCAGTCTACGGTCTCCGCCAGGCGCCGCACGAGTGGCACGACACACTGAGGACTACACTTGCGGCTCTTGGGTTTGCTCCTTCCACTGCTGACCCGTCGCTGTTTCTGCGCACTGACACCTCGCTGCCGCCGTTCTACATCCTCGTGTACGTCGACGACTTGGTCTTTGCCACTGCGGACACTACCGCACTCACCCACGTGAAGTCCGAGCTGCAGAAGAGACACACGTGCACAGACCTGGGTGAACTGACAAGCTATCTTGGCTTGCGGATCACCCGGGACAGAGCACGCCGCACCATTACCCTGACTTAGTCACACATGGTGCAGCAGGTCCTTCAGCGCTTTGGCTTCACGTACTCCTCGCCTCAGTCCACTCCTCTGCCTACGGGACACTCGCTCTCAGCTCTGCCTTCGGATGAGTCCGTAGAGTCGAGTGGTCCGTATCCAGACTGTGGGCTGCCTCATGTACCTGATGACCTGCACTCGACCTGACCTCGCATACCCTCTCAGCATCTTAGCACGCTATGTCGCTCCCGGCCGTCACCGGAAGGAGCACATGGATACAGCTAAGAGGGTGTTGCGCTACTTGTGCAGTACGTCGGGCATGGGGCTAGTGCTTGGAGGGCGTGACCGGCCTGTGCTCACTGGGCACTCAGACGCTTCTTGGGCTGACGACCAGGCTACTCAGAGGTCGTCTCAGGGTTACACCTTCAGTCTTGGCTCTGGCTCTGTCTCTTGGCGCTCTACTCGCTCTTCTTCGGTTCTCAGCTCCAGTTGTGAGGCTGAGATCTACGCCACGGCCATGGCTGCCCAGGAGCTTCGCTGGCTCACCTACCTGCTGACTGACCTTGGAGAGCGGCCTCGTTCTCCTCCAGTGCTGTACGTCGACAACAAGGCAACCATTGCCTTGTGTCAGGAGCACAGACTGGAGCACAGGACGAAGCACATTGCTTTGCGCTACTTCCTTGCTCGAGAGCTGCAGCAGCGTGGTCAGCTTCGCCTGCGTTTCGTGGCCACTGAGGCCAACACTGCAGATGTGTTCACCAAGGCACTTCCGCCTCGTGACCATCAGCGCTTTTGCACTCTGCTAGGCCTTGTGCCCACTGGGCCTCACTTGCTTACCTCTTGACCTTGCTTGTACTGCTGCATATATATACTCTTGCTCTTGCTTGTTTAGCACTGTTATATATATATGCTGCATGTGAACTGGCCTTGTGGCCTTGACCTTGTGCTCAGAATTTGTGTGGTATCCTTGAGATCCACCCTGAGCTTGCTTTGCTTTGCTTTGCTTTGCTTGACTGGTCTTGTGACCCCTTGCTCTCCCCCACTTTGCCTATGGGGGTGTGTCAGATGATTATATATAGCTGATGCATATATGTAGGCTGTAGTGGGGTAGTCCATAGGAGGTACAACCCAATTAGGGTTGGTACTTGTACTTGTTTCATCTTCATTCTCCAATTTCCCCTCTCAACTCACTCGACACCTTGCCTAGGTGAAAACCCGCTCGATACCTAAGCTCGGGCCTAGGCTACTAAGCCTAGGCCCCACCTCTTAACTCACTTATTCTCTCGATACTAGTGGCTGAAGGTCTGTCTGGTATGGCTAAGGACGCGTCAACTCCCATCAAATTGGCACGATCGATCCTGCGCAGGGTCAAATTTTGATGGCTTTGAAATCGTTCTGGTTTGTTTTGAGCTCTAAAGACATGTTTTCAGTGCGGTGGAAGATCGAAATTGCACGAGATCGCCAAAATCAGCGGGAGTTGACGCGTCCTAAAATCAATGGTTGCAAGTGTTTAGAGTGAAACTTGTTATACGCTTTATGTCTATTCGAATGACACTTAATACATTAAAGCATTTCTAGTTCAAAAACTGCCTAGAAAACAACAAACTGAGTTTTGGACCTGGCGGAGAGCAGATCTATGAGAGCTTAGATTGGAAGCCTTTTAGCTAAGGGCGTATTCATATCCTCCTATCAAGAAAACCTCCTATCAAGCTCTCACAGGAAAATTCCCTAAACCCAAAATCTCTCGCTACGGTACTTTTATCAGGCAAAAGGTACAATCTTGATAGGAGGTTTCTTGATACCGCCATCGCCCGGTTATAAGACAGTGGCGAATAGTAGACAAGGGTTGTCTATTATACGGATGTCTCTTATAAACAGGCTAGCCTTTTTATACGACACCTATTTGTGTGTACGAGATAAGACATATGTGTCTTATAATCGAAACTGCAATGTATTATAGTGAGAATTGAAATACCGCGTACATTTTTACCCTTGCGACACGCGAATTCTGCCACATGCTGACTCACGTACTACCAAATTTGCCTTTGCAATTATTCGGGATGACGTGGCGTCCCGAACAATTGTTGCCAAAGTGGCACCTTCGCAACATCCACACTCTTAATGAGAAACTCTTTTCAAGATGCGTAAAAACATTTCTAAGTAGTTAAAAAAAATTCCATTTATAAGACTTATAAGACACCCAAAACCTCCCCAAATACAAGATAACCCAAGCTTTTTTTTAGTGTATGAGATAAGACATATATGTCTTATATCCGGGCGATGACGGTAGGAGGCCGTAGGAATACGCCCTAAGAAGAGGGTACCTTATGAGATGATGAGACTGGTGGTCTGATCTGATCTTATCCAACATTTTTATGAAACTAAAGCCCGAATGTATAACTAACCAGCCTGGTAAGCCCAAGGCCTCGTCTGATACAAGCCTGCACCGGCTAAACCAAGCATACGCTGATCTGGGTGCGTAAGTATACTCTGTTACTGCTAGGATTGCAAACAAGCTAGTTTTACCGTAAAAGAAAACCTGTGGCGCACAAACAAGAGTTCCGGCCAATGCCCTCTCAACATATTCAGCATAGCACGCAATGCACACAGACTCAACAGGTCAACTTATCTCCCAATAATCAGCACAGCACACAGCAGAAACACGAGCAGTGGTTGCTGCATGCAACAACATTAGCCAAGACAAGAACCTACCAAAGCGCCATGCATAGCTCTTCCTTTCAGTCGTGTGCGCCCGAGATTAGATCGCTTTGAAACCTGTTAGTATTCACTCCCTTTCGCCCCCCCACCATCGCCAGCGCCTGCTGACTGTGCCTGACACCCAAGATGTTGATCCACCAGAGATGCACAACAAATCTGCGCATCTCTGTCTCTGATTACCGTGCCACAAACCTGCTACCTCAAACACGAGCCCTGCACAACAGACCCAACTCGACTCACCCAAGTCAGCCCTAATACCCCCCTTGCATGTGCTCGCTTGTTCCTGACCCAGCCACCCCACCCTCCCCAATCGCCTCTCCTGCCATGCCCCCTTGCACCTGCCCCTGCCCATACTGCCCCCCCTGACTCTGCTGCATCTCCCCCAGTGCACCTCCTTGCCCTGGCCCCTCCATCCCTCCAGGGTTTTGTCCCATGGTATCAGCACCCATACTACTGCCAGGGGCAGGAGGAGGAGAGGTGACAGTAGAAGTGGGTGGTGCTGGGGTAAATCCAGGGTTTCCCTGCATGGCAATGGGGTAATTCTGGGAGGAACCCCCCTGCTGCGGCTGCAGCATTGCTGCTGCCGCTGGTCCTGCTGTCCCTCCCATTGGCATTGCCTGCAGCTGCTGCTGCTGATACTGCTGCTGCTGCTGCGGTTGTTGGTACTGCTGGCGCTGGTACTGTTGGTGCTGGTAGTGCTGGTGCTGCTGCTGCTGTTGCTGCTGTGGCAGCTGTTGCTGCTGCTGGGGCTGCATACCCATATAAGCTGCACCCTGCTGTTGCTGATACTGCTGCTGCTGCTGCTGATATGGTTGGTGCTGCTGCTGCTGCTGCTGCTGCTGCTGCTGCTGCTGGTACTGCTGCTGCTGGTCCTGCTGCTGTTGATACTGTTGCGGCTGCTGCTGCTGCAGAGGAGGCTGCTGATAGTACTGCTGCTGCATCTGTGGCTGCCCCATAGCCGCCACTTGCCCCTGCATTGGTACCACCCCTGCACCTGCAACCCCTGCTTGGTAAGCACGACTACCCCCACCCATCACCCCCCCTCCTGCCATTTGCATCTGAGGCGCACTCCCCACCATCCCTTGCTGTGCCACCTGCTGCTGCTGCTGTGGCTGCTGTTGCAGCTGCTGCTGCTGTGGAAGGTGCACAGCTGCGGATCCCTGAGTCTGAAGTTGAGGTGCCATTTGGCCTGGGGCAAGCGCAGATGCACCCATAGCTTGCACTGGAACCTGCGCAGCTGATTGGTACTGCCCCTGCGGCTGCTGCTGCCCCTGCTGCTGCTGCGGCTGCTGCTGCTGCTGAGGCGGAGAGTAGATCACACGGTCTGCCCTGCCAGGCTGACCCCCTGGCCCTCCTGCTCCGGCCACGCCACTCCCCACACCATTAGCACCTGCAGTGCCACCCATGGGTGGCCCATTACTCGTGGAGGGAGGTGTCCCGTTCGTGGGAGCTGCTACAGCCGTCTCTGGTGCCCCCTTCGTGGGGGCAACTATCCCGGGTTCTGAGGGAGAGAGTGGGCCTCCTGGTCCGCTCTGTGCCTGCCCGCTCCCTGCTCCTTGCTGCCCTTGCTGCTGCCCCTGCTGCCCCTGCACCTGCTGCTGCTGCTGCTGTGCCTGTGCAGCAGCCTGTGTGGGTGCCATTGCACCCTCTCCTGGTGATGCCTGCTGCTGCTGTGGCGGCTGCTGAGAGTGCTGTGCTGGTTGGAGTTGCTGCTGCTGTTGCTGTTGTGAACCGGGCTGTGGCTGTGTGGGCGGTGGAGGGGTGGGTGTGGACGCAAGGGGAGGCGCAGCAGCAGTGGCTGGAAGAGCCGGGGAGGGTGGGAAGACATCGGAGAGGGGAGGCGTGCAGAGACCCATGGCTCGCAGTACATAGCTGTCATCGTGCAGCTCGAAGGGCGTGCTGAGAGAGGAGAGGACAGGGAAGGGAGGAGAAAAAAGAAACTTAAGGCTTCAGGTAGCAGAGCCCCATGGCTCGCAGCACGTAGCTGTCGTCGTGCCGCTCAAAGGACGTTCTGTCAGGGAAGGGAGGAGAGATTGGAATGAAGAGGGAGATGTTGGGATGGGATGGGAGATTGGGGTTTCGGGCTACGGCACTTCTGTTGATGAGGGGGAGCAGTGTAGAGGCCCATCGCACGCAGCAGTGTAGAGGCCCATCGCACGCAGCAGTGTAGAGGCCCATCGCACGCAGCAGTGTAGAGGCCCATCGCACGCAGCAGTGTAGAGGCCCATCGCACGCAGCAGTGTAGAGGCCCATCGCACGCAGCAGTGTAGAGGCCCATCGCACGCAGCAGTGTAGAGGCCCATCGCACGCAGCAGTGTAGAGGCCCATCGCACGCAGCAGTGTAGAGGCCCATCGCACGCAGCAGTGTAGAGGCCCATCGCACGCAGCAGTGTAGAGGCCCATCGCACAAAGCATGTAGCTGTCTGTCACCTTGAAGCTCAAAGGGAGTGCTGGGAGGAAAGAGGAAGAAACTCAGATGGGAGAGGGAGATGGGGGGTTTCAAGCTTACATTGCGGTTTGAGTGAACGTGGTTAAGATTGCGAGGTGCTTTAACGTGAGAAAAGCTGCGAGCAAGCTTACGTGCTGAAGTCAAAGTGCACGAGCTGCATGTCCTCTGATATCTCCACCTCCACCGTTGCCTGTGGGCGGGTCTGCACACCACAGAGGAGCACGGAGGGGGAGAGGAGGAAAGAGGAGGTGAGACAGGAGCTGCATGTCTCCTCCGATATCTCCACCTCCACCGTTGCCTGTGGGCGGGTCTGCTCCGTGCCATAGACAGAAAAAAGGGGGAGTGAGAGGGAAGAGGGAGAAAGTGAGGGGGAAGAGAGAGGAAGAGAGAGGGAAGAGGGAGGGAGAGGGGGAAGAGAGAAGGGTTGAGAGGGAAGAGAAAGGAAGAGAGAGGAATAGAGAGGATAACGGTACCATTCTGATTCCGCTTTGCATGTACCTATGGCCGATAAAATACAAAGGACCGTTTGAGAGAGGGTAAGGGGCGAGTTCTTCTGCAACAGGTTTGTGGGAGGTGCACCAACCTTTGCAAACTTGGCACGACCTGACTGTTGTACTTTCCAGACTCATAGAAATGCTGAAGCCCTTTCACTCGCCTTGCTCGTCCACGTACGTACGGCTAGCACACAAAAGGGTTTCCTAAGATGTTTCAAAAGTCATGGCCGCTGGCTAGGGTACGTAATGGTACCATTCTGCTTTCTCGTCCCCTTAACTTTTGATGAGTCAACTAAAAAAGTCACCAAGGCATGGTGACTTTTTTAGTCAAGCTTGTTAGCTACGGTACGCAACGGCACGATTTTGCTTCCGCTTCCCCTGCACCAGGTGCCCCTACTTCTGTCTCTTTCTGTGTGAATGCCCATGGCAACCTGATCATGGCAACCTGATCATGGCAACCTGATCATGGCAACTCTGTGACTACCTAACATACATGATACGGTAACTGGAACAGCTATATTTCATGCTGAAGGCAGCTTCCGCCTCACCTACAATGAGTCAACAGTACCTACCTGCACGAGAATGGTAGGACTTTTGAGTTGACTCAAAAGGCAGCTTCGACCGCGCCTACAATGAGTCAACAGTGCCTACCTGCACGAGAATGAATGGCAGCGCCACCCCGCCACCCGCAGGTGGGCCCCCCTGCTGGCTGCTGGCCTCGTTGCGGCGCATGAGACGCTCGATGCCGGCCATCTGCGAGGTGGGTGGCACACACATGGGAGGTGGGTGGCACACACATGAGGGATACGTGGGTCCATGCATGCATGGGTGCACGCATGTGTAGGAGAAATCGTGCGTAAGTGCATGCATGCACGGGCAAATGCATGTCGACAGGCAAAAGAGCATGCCAAGAGGAACACAGAAGGTGCAGAGGAGAAGTAGAAGCAGCAGCAAGGAAAATGGAGCAAGATGGAGCAAGCGCGAGGGGGGGAGAGAGAAGGAAGCATACCTGCTCCTAGAACGAGAGTGAAGAGGAGGGAGAGAGGGTGGCATACCTGCTCCTTGATAGAAAGTGGAGAGGAGAGAGGGGTGGCATACCTGCTCCTTCAACTCCTCGAGATGGGCAGCCTTCTTTTCCACGCGACTGCGCACGCGTGATGACTCCGCCTGGAAGCAAGCACACACATACATAGGCTCGGAGGCATGTCAGACGCTCGTCAGCAGCAGGAGAAACACCAGCAGAAGGAGCAAAAGAAGCAGCCGAAGCAGCAGTTGCAGCACCAGCAGAAACAGCAACGCACACCAGGAGGAGCTGGTGGGAGGTGGAGGAGGGGGTGATGCCCTTCCATTTGATATTTGAGTCGACTGAGCAACACAGACCACACCACACCACACCGCACCCCACCACACCACACCACATGCACCAGGAGGAGCTGGTGCGAGGCGGAGGAGGGGGGGAGGCCCTTCCACTTGATCTCCTTCTTCTCCTTGGAGATGATGTCCATCGCCATCAGCACGAGCAGCAACACACCACAGCACAGCACAGCACACACCACAGCACACACCACACGCACCAGGAGGAGCTGGTGCGAAGCAGAGGAGGGCGGGAGGCCCTTCCACTTGATCTCCTTCTTCTCCTTGGAGATGATGTCCATCGCCATCAGCACGTTCAGCGCGTCGTACACCCGCCGCCGAATGTTCTTCTCGTCGTACTGCTGCCGAGGGGGTTGGGGGAGCAGGGGGAGGTGGGAGAGGTGGGGGGGAAGTGGGGGGGGGCAGAGGAGGAAGGCCCTTCCATCGCCATCAGCACGTTCAACGCGTCGTACACCCGCCGCCGGACGTTCTTTTCGTCGTACTGCTGCCGAGGGGTGGGGGAGGAAAGGAAGTGGGGGCGGAGAGGGGGGAAGAGATGAGAGAAGCAGCAACAGCAGCGTCAGCACATCGTACTTAGAGATGAGCATTTTCCCCGCTCGGGACGCTCCGACCCGACCCGACCCGAGGTTTAGCTCGGGTCGGGGCAGTGGTTTCATTTGCCTGCCCCGTGCGGGCCGACCCGACCCGACCCGACCCGAGCATGGAACTCGGGCCGGGTGGGGTCGGGTTTCGGGTCAAGCTTGACCCGACCCGACTTCGGGTCAAGACCAGGAGCCCGACCCAATTTCGGGTCAAGACCAGGAGCCCGACCCAATTTCGGGTCAAGACCAGGAGCCCGACCCAATTTCGGGTCAAGACCAGGAGCCCGACCCAATTTCGGGTCAAGACCAGGAGCCCGACCCAATTTCGGGTCAAGACCAGGAGCCCGACCCAATTTCGGGTCAAGACCAGGAGCCCGACCCAATTTCGGGTCAAGACCAGGAGCCCGACCCAATTTCGGGTCAAGACCAGGAGCCCGACCCAATTTCGGGTCAAGACCAGGAGCCCGACCCAATTTCGGGTCAAGACCAGGAGCCCGACCCAATTTCGGGTCAAGACCAGGAGCCCGACCCAATTTCGGGTCAAGACCAGGAGCCCGACCCAATTTCGGGTCAAGACCAGGAGCCCGACCCAATTTCGGCACAGAGGGCACAAACGCCCCTTGAGGGTTCAATTTGTGATCGAGGGATTTTTTATCCCCTCAACATCAGAACCTACCCACGCTCTCAATCTTGCCTAACGGCAGCAAGCAAGTCACCTAAGCTTAGAAACTACTAGTTAGGGCCCGTTCAAACCTCATTGACAGGCAACTTTAGCTGGTTTACTATCGTATCCTACTGTTCACGAAAAATCGCGATGCAGGAATGGCGTTTTTTTACAACTTGACGTTGTACACCCCTGCTCCCTCTAAAGGGCGGGTCAGACTGGCCCGACCCGACCCGACCCGTGACTGGGTCCAAGCTGACCCGAGTGTGTAGGCCCGGGTCGGGCCAGAACTTTCAGGAACCTGGCCCGAGCCTGGCCCGACCCAACCCGACCCGGGAGCCTGTGTAGCCCAGCCAGGTCGGGTCGGGTCGGGTCGGGTCGGGTCGGCTCGGGCCCGAAACGTACTGCTGGAGGGGGGGAGGGGGAGGGGAGGGATGGGTGTAGGTCAAAGCAGGGAAACATGGGGTGGGGGGGTTAGAGGAGGGGTGCATCGTACACCCGCCACCGAATGTTCTTCTCATCGTACTGCTGCCGAAAGGGGTTTGAGGGGAGGGAGGGCATCACCGCAGGTAGAGGGGATTTGGGGCAGAGAGGGGAGATGGCGGGGACAAAGCGGAGGGGTGCATCGTACACCCGCCACCGAATGTTCTTCTCATCGTACTGCTGCCGGAGGGGCGAGGGGAGGGGGGTGTAGTGGGAGGGGCGTGGTGGGAGAGGGCTGGAGGGGTCATGTCATACACCTGCCGCTGAATGCTCTCGGAGGGCTGGAGGGGTCATACACCTGCCGCTGAATGCTCTCCCAGTCGGCTGAGAGGGAGGGATAGCGGCAGAGAGAGGGAACAGCAGCAACAGCAACAAGTGGCAGCAGCATCGGCACCAGGAGGAGCTGGTGAGAGGGGAATAGTTGGGATCAGCAGCAAGAGGGTAGCTTCAGAGGGTAAATGAGTAGTTTGGGAGGGTGGGAGAGTAGTTTGGAACGGTAAGAGAGAAGTTTGAAATGTCAGGAGAGGAGCTTGAAAGGGAAGAGGGTGGCTTGAGAGGGTAAGAGAGTAGGTTGAGAGGGTAAGAGAGTAGGTTGAGAGGGTAAGAGAGTGGCCTGAGAGGGTAGAAGCCTAGAGAGGGTGAGAGGGTACCTGGTCTTGCGGCAGGGTGGCAGTGCCTTGCAGCCCTGTGAACTCTGCCACCAGCTCGTCTGCTACCTGTAGGGCATGCATTGGTACGGTGCAGGGCAAAAGCACAAGGGGTCTGACACACACACACACGTGCACGATGTCGACTTTTGGAAAGTAAAAAAGGAGGAAACATCGCAAGTCCACACGAACAAAAGCACACATGAACAGAGTCACAATTGAACTGGTCCATTTAGCAGAGCGTGGATAAGAGACGGGATGTGGCCTGCTGTGCTCTGACACACCACACGGCACACACCACACGGCACACACCACACGGCACACACATACTTGAGTGTATGTTGATGTTGTGCGCCCTTTGGATTCCACCTCCCATGAGGCACCTAAAAGATGTGCTCTCCCGCACCGCATGGCACACACGTACCTCATTGTACGTGGTGCGCCCTTTAGATTCCACCTTCTCACACACTGCCATGCACGAAAAGGAGGGGGAAGAAGGAGCGAGTGATGCTTGTGCCACTTCAGATATATTCTCGAAAGGGGCCCCACATTCTCGGAAGGGGCCCCACATTCTCGAAAGGGGCCCCACATTCTCGAAAGGGGCCCCACATTCTCGAAAGGGGCCCCACATTCTCGAAAGGGGCCCCACATTCTCGAAAGGGGCCCCACATTCTCGAAAGGGGCCCCATATTCTCGAAAGGGGCCCCACATTCTCAGACACGCCGTGCAAGAGGGAAGGGAGGCAGGGAGAAGATGCACGGGCACGCAGGGGAAGAGAAGGACGCACATGCACGCATCCTCTGCTTTCCTTTCCACGAGTCGTAGGATCGGCAACAGAGCGACACAGCCTTTACTGTTCTCCTTCCTCCTCTCACCTTTCATGCTGAAATGCCGGAGCCCCTTGCCTCTGTCTGCTGCCCGGGGCAGTCGTCGCTTGCGCTTGCTGCTCCCACAGAGGCAGCAGCAGCGGCGGCAGCAGGCGCAGCAGCAGGAGGCAGAGCAGCAGGCAGAGCAGGAACAGCAGCACGGGAGAGCAGGAACAGCAGCACGGGAGAGAGTGAAACAGGACGACAAAAGCAGGAGGAAGCAAAAGGTGGGCAGGTGGAAGCAAAAGGTGGGCAGGTGGAAGCAAAAGGTGGGCAGGTGGAAGCAAAAGGTGGGCAGGTGGAAGCAAAAGGTGGGCAGGTGGAAGCAAAAGGTGGGCAGGTGGAAGCAAAAGGTGGGCAGGTGGAAGCAAAAGGTGGGCAGGTGGAAGCAAAAGGTGGGCAGGTGGAAGCAAAAGGTGGGCAGGTGGAAGCAAAAGGTGGGCAGGTGGAAGCAAATCAGCAGAACAAGCAAGTAAAGAAGCAAGACAACTCTTGGAAGCAAGTGTTTTAGCAGCCCAGGCAGCATGGCCGTTAGTGCAGAGTACAGGCAGAGAGTGCACTGGGACTGCAGGGCAGGCAGGGCAGCATGGCATCTCATTGGGGCCCAAGGAGTCAGCTGCAGCTACATCCGCCCAACACTTGTTCCCCGATAGCATCATCAACCCCACCACCCCCGCCTTCATCCCCATCCCCATCCCCATTCCCACGCCCATCCCCTGTCCCTTAAGCGCTTAAGCAGGCACATTCAGCTCAGGGATAGAGAGGGACAGCAGAGGGACAGCCGGCAAGAACAGCCACTCACGCGTCATTTGGGGTCCAAGGGGTCAGCTGCAGCCCCATCCGCCCCATACTCGTCCCCTGGTAGCATCCCATCCCCACCCCCACCCCCACACCCACCTACACCCCCATCCCCACCCCCATCCCCACCCCCATAATCATCCCCAGTCAACCAAGCGCTTAAGCAGCCAGCGACAGCAGAGGGACAGCACGGCCACTCACGCATCATTGGGGTCCAAGGAATCAGTTGCAGCGCCATCCGCCCCATACTCGTCCCCTGGCAGCATGCTCATCCCCATAGATACCCCCGCCCCCATCCCCATCCCCAGACCCGACGCCCCACTTGCTGCTCCCCCTGCTCCTCCCCCTCCGCCGCCACCCCCCCCGTTCCCCCCTGCAGCAGCGGGGGCAGCGCCCGCCAGGCGACCACGGTCAGTGGAGTCCCCACTCTCCACTGACCGCGCCCCTGCTCCCCCCCCCCCTGCGCCCCCAGCTCCTGCGCCTGCCACTCCTCCTCCTAGAGAGGTCTCCGCCCACCCCCCTGCTGCTCCCTGCTGCCCCTGCTGCTGTTGCGACTGCAGAGCAGATGGTATTGGCTTGGGGGGAGGGGAGACTGCAGAAGCGAGGGGGTCGTGGGGGAGAAGGTTGGGTGGGGTTGGGGGAACAGAGGGGGGAGGAGAAGGAGAAGGGAATCTCTGACAGTGCGTTTCTCTGCTGTGCCCCCTGCTTTTGAGGCGCCTCAAAAATGGTTGGTGGTACAGAGAGGGGAAGAGAACAATGCGGTTCTCTTCTGCTGCCCCTGCTGCTGCTGTGACTGCACAGCAAATAGAATTGGTTTTAGGGGCAGTGAGACTGCAGGGGGTGGGGGGGAGAAGAGGAAGGGGAGGGTGAAGGTAGGGTTGGTAGGGACGAGACTTTCAGAGAGGGTTATATGCTCCCAATGGGATCAGGGTATTCGCTCCGTCCGTCAGTCCCTCGCTCCCTCCCTCGCCTCGCTCCCTCCCTCGCCTCGCTCCCTCCCTCGCCTCGCTCCCTCCCTCGCCTCGCTCCCTCCCTCGCCTCGCTCCCTCCCTCGCCTCGCTCCCTCCCTCGCCTCGCTCCCTCCCTCGCCTCGCTCCCTCCCTCGCCTCGTTCCCTCTCTCCCTCCCTCTCCCTCTCCCTCCCTCCCTCCCTCCCTCTTCCTCTCCCTCCCTCCCTCCCTCCCTCCCTCCCTCCCTCCCTCTCCCTCTCCCTCCCTCCCTCCCTCCCTCCCTCCCTCCCTCCCTCCCTCCCTCCCTCCTTCCCTCCCTCCCTCCCTCCCTCCCTCCCTCCCTCCCTCCCTCCCTCCCTCCCTCCCTCCCTCCCTCCCTCCCTCCCTCCCTCCCCCTCTACCCTCCCCCGCTTCCCTCCCCTCCTCCCCTCCCCTCTCCTCCATTCCTCCCTCACCAGGCGACGGCTTCGGCCCGTCCGCGTGGGCGGCAGCGGCAGCGGCAGGCCCGAGGTCATGGGCCAGATCCGGCACGCCCGTCTCCGCCGCTCCTCCCTCCCCCCTTCCCTCCCCCCTTCCCTCCCCCCTTTCCTCTCTCACCAGGCGACGGTTTCGGGCGGCAGCAGCGGAGGCGGGGATGATCCCGAGGTCGTGCGCCAGATCGACAAGCCCGCCACCGCCCCTCCTCCCCCATCCCCCCTTCCCTTCTCACCAGGCGACTGTTTCGGCCCATCCGCGTGGGCGGAGGCGGGAATAATCCCGAGGTCGTGCGCCAGATCCAGCACGCCCGTCTCCGCGAAGTCCGACAGCAGCGCGTGGGGAACACTCAGCGCGCCCTGCGGGGAGCCCTGCGCCTGCGCCTGCGCGTGCGGTTGCGGAGCGTCTCTGTGCGCGGCGGTGGATTCGGGCGCAACGGACGCCGCGGCGTTCGCCCCGCGCGCGTCTGTAGCGGGCTCGCCCCCGCCACTGCCGGGTCTTGTCGCGCGAGCGTCTGTAGCGGCGGACGGCACAGGGCTCGTCGCACGATCGTCCGCGGCGGAAGGAGCCGACGCGGCGTCATTCCGCGCGCCGCCAGCCGGTTCCAGATCCGAAGTTGCGGGTTTCGCGGCGCCTCCTCCTTCGGATACGGCGGGTGGAATTTGTTGCTGCTGTAGGTGCTGTGGCTTCAAATCCATTTCACTTAAATGAGGGAAAAATACCGTCAAGTCAAGTTGCGGACCGCCAATAGCGCTGCATTTGAAGTATTACGCTAGTATTACTGGGAAGTATGCTGGAGTACTGCCAGCGAATGGCGTGCGAGCCTGAACAAGGGGGCTCGTCCAGGCCTTTTGAGGCTTTCTCCAGGCACTGAATCTGACAGGCTAATCCACCAATCACGTGCGGTTGCGATGGCAGAGGTGCTCCAAACGAAATTTCAGGGCGGGTCCAGCGCGATCGTTTTCAGTACATCCATCGTGGCGGAAGACGATTCCAGACGGTGCACAGCGGTTCACGTCCTTCACCGATTCGCACCGTGACATAACAAGAGCAACCGCATAGAACGAACAAAGGACGAACGCACCAGACCAGACCCACTTTCAGGCAGTCCAAGATGGGTAACGTCGCCGGGCAGGTGTAAACGTTTGCAATCACAATTCAGTGGTTCATTCTGGTACAGTGGCCCAAGAACTGGAGTGCCCAGAAATACCGAAACGCGGAATCGCACAAAAGACAGTGTGAGGCGAGGATGCGAATGAAAGTTGATGATAGACCCCGTTGCCCTCAAAGCCAGTGTTTGCAATGGGCTGGGACGCGGTTCTGTGCGTTGGAAATAACTAAATGGGGCAATTCTAAACCTTTGAACCTCGAGATTGGGGAGTGGTACCCCTGCGCGCCCAAGCATATCCCTATGCCCCTCCAAGGTTTCCAGGCTGTACGTTTCTTGTACGTTTCCAGGTCGTTCGTCTTCACCATCCCCTTGCTGTGGGGCAAAATAGCACAGCTACAAAATCGCTTTGGACCGTGTGAAACTGACCTGAACCACAAAGAATGATCTCCAAATGTATGACCAGACACGAAGGGCTTTTTTTGAACATTTGATTTGAGTTGCAAAAGCTCGGCGCTCTGAAGCAGGAGAATCAAAGGCAGCAGAGAGACAGGAAGCAAGAGAAGAGCCACAAGACAGAAAAGAACTGCCATGAGAATAGTTTCTGGCGTTCCTCCAGCCAAAGCAAAGTAGGCGGCAAATGCCGAGGAAAAACCACAGAGTACCGTCGCTAATGGTTCTGTAGTCCCGACGGTGATCGTCTTTCCTCGTTGTTAGGCTGTTGCCTAGGTCTCCTGCGTGGCACAACTTATTCCATCTTTGGTGCTTTGGTCGCACAGCGACTGCTAACGTCGCACACCTCGAACAAACGTCGCGCGCATACGGACTCCGCTATGGCGCGCGGGATTTTCATTTGAAAGCACCCAGCGGCATTACCGCCGCTCGCCGCTTTCCCTCACAGCATTTTTCACGGAACGCGCACCAGACTTTGCTCAAACGGATTGTAACGGCTGTGTTTATCCCACAAACCACGTTCCTTTCCCGCCTGAGTTAATATCGACCCGGCGCCTGTATGGGGAAAAGGCGAGCGAAGCGGTTGTTGGAGTCGTACGAGGTGAACGGCAAGCGACTCGAACGTACGTGCTGCGGTCGCCCTTCTCCTACCATTTCACCTTCTCTCCATGACTTGAACCAGTATGCTACCCGTGCTCTTTCCCCACGCTGTCGCTTTTCCTCTGAAGTCCTCCCCTGCCGGCCGTTCTTATTGTCGTAACTCTTTCCTGACGCCCGAATGATGCTGTATTCCCACGATTTCGCGCTCGAATCCTCTACAAAAAATGTCCGAAGAACATATTTCAGTGAATGTACTTCCTCCAGAGTAATAGATTTTGAGAATATTTTCTTCTGAACAAATCTGCCTTTGAGATATGCCTTACAAGAGTTATCTTATGAAGGAGAACCCTCCACATACACATCAGTCGCTCCATCCAACCATTACTGGGTACCACCCCTCTCCCATCCCCTTCCAGCTGGAGTTTGCGTCATGCTGCGGCCACCCAGCCCCAAGACCCCCTCATACATTGCGCGAATTGAGAAAATCGAATCTGATGCTGCGGGTCGAGTCAAGATGTGGTGCCGCTGGTACTACCGGCCAGAGGAGTCTATAGGGGGGCGTCGGTGCTTCCATGGAGTGAAGGAGCTATTTCTGTCCGATCACTATGACGGTTGCTATCCAGAGGCGGTGGAGGGCGTGTGTTCTGTGCACAACCTGAAGGATTACGCTTACTTGGACGTGGTTGAGGAGGAGGACTTCTTCTGCCGGTTCGAGTACAACGCGTCAACAGGAATGTTCGCGCCAGAGAGTGTTGCAGTGTGAGTGGCGAGGGTTTTACCGGTACCCTGCGGCAACAAACAACGTTTCGGCATGGCATGCACATTAGCTAGAGAGGGCGCATGTGCTTGCAGGGAATCTTTTCTCACTGGAAGTCTGCATGATGAAGTCTATGTTTCAGAATGAGTGGAATGAGCAGCTGGGTGTGTTGTGACCCACATGCCTGTGCCATCGCTCTGCAGGTACTGCAAGTGCGAGATGCCATACAACCCCGACAATCTCATGGTTCAGTGTGAAGACTGCAAAGACTGGTGAGGATGGATGTGAAGCGCTATATTTTCTCCTGCTTCAACTTGTGCCTGTGACTGCCTCGTGACTCTTGCACCTTTGCCATGTTTGCAGTCTCTTGTGTGGCTTTTTTTGAAGCTCGTATATGTCCCTTTTTGTTTGCATCCATGCAGGAGTTTAATATGCGCTTCTTATTGCATTCTTTTTCCTGTTCAGGTTCCATCCAGAATGTGTCAACTTGCCCAACCGTGGGCTGGAGTCCATCAGAGAATATATTTGCCCTGACTGTAAATAACTATACAGTAGAGCAGAATGCATGGTACATGCATTCTGTCTGCATTTGGTTGTATGTAATTGTTATGCTTCATTGTGCATTTCCTAGCTAGTTCTAACACGCATTTTCCTTCCATAGCTTGCATTGCATTGTGATTGCTGCATATTCATAAAGAGAATGTATTTTGCAGTGAGAAATGTATTTTGTAGCGAGAAAGTATGCCGATCAATATTCTACCAGCACCATCAATCGCCACGTCACGTCACACACCCTCGTCCCTAGGGCCTTGTTCGATAGCCAACGGGAACGGGAACGGGAACGGGAACGGGAGGGACTGGCTCGAATTCAGGCTCGGGAGGGGAAAATCGCATGGCGACGTCCATGCGACTGAGACCGAACCACCTTGGGATGCTCAGAGATTTCCGAGCTTGGCTCCTCCCATTTCTCTCCCGTTGCACAGTGCGCTGGCAACTGTTGTACTGTGAACCACAGGCAAAATCCCCCCCGTTCCCGTTCACCTGCTCCATGCAGAACGGGATCAGGTTCCGGGCAAAAATGAAAACATCTGGGGGAGTGATAGGGCTAAATGTCTCGGTTGGGATGGGTAAAGTGTTTGGGGCAGCTTACATGCAGAACTTTGGTAATCCATCTATGCCTAACCGTATCGGTTGACATGGGTACCCGATTAGGTCCACAGTATCTCGCCACCGTACGAGGGTTTCATCTGGCGTTTCAGTCAAGTTTTGTCTTTTAGCTTTGTCAGGCTCGGGATGACCGCCTTCTCCCGTTCCCGTTCCCGTTCCCGTTGGCTATCGAACAAGGCCTAGATTTCTCCGAGATGAACACTGGATTGGAGTTGAGACGAAGCTGTTGTCTCGAAATTCGGAGCAGCAGAAGGCGTACAACACAGCACGAAAGAAGGCAGCAGCAACCAGGTTCAGAGAGAACACAAGCCCCAGTATTCCTCTCAAGATTAGTCACGTGGACGATCCTGGGCGGACGCAGCCAGCAGCTGGGGAAACTACTAATCTCTTCGATTTAATCGACAAAGCGAGCGCCATGGCTGCTGTGTCCCAGCTCTCGCTGATCGCCTCCCCCTGCGCTAGATACACTACGGCCGTCCTATGCGATGAGGCCGCTAGATCGACGGCGTCATTCGCGTCGTCGTTCACTCCGTCGCGATTCGCAGGCGCCACGTCGTCGTCTTCGTATGGCGGGAATACAAAACTTAGCGTGGCGATGCGCGTCGTTAAATCGCGAGCATCGGTGACCTGCTCGCTACCTCACGCGTATGCCCTCCTCAACTCCTTCCATTCCCCTCCATCCGCGTTCGTCGCAACCCTCACTCGCTGCTTGCGTTCTCGTAACCTCCAGTCGTGCCTTGCGTGATGAATCAGAGTGTCGCTAGTTACTCTTCTGCAAACCCTAACCTCTGACTCGCATTTTTCAAGAGCCTAGCGACATTGCTAAAAACCCCGTTCGCGTTCATTGTTGCTTCTTAGAAGGACTCTCCTCTTAATCGATCGTGTTTGTCACACATCCTCTAGATTTCTGTTTTTAAACCACGCAGCCAAAACTTGCCGGTTGCTAGTACCGAATAAATCCCGAAACCACAACATTCAGATCAACAACCCTTCAAATGTTTTTTATTCCGATCATGCGGGTGCTTTGGTGATCGTAGTTTCGAAACCCAGTTTGACACTGGTGACTCGCGCTTCGTGTCGTACTAAAGTTTTGGATGAGCGTCATTCGTTCTCCCAAGTAGGGTTCCATTGATCTTGCAGATCGGAATTTCGTTTTCACTCCTAGTTTCTCATTCAACATTCATCCGTTACTGATATGGTCGACCACTGGCAAGAACGGGTTCATTTGTCTCTCTTATCCGTCCTCTGTCCTTACACCGTCGGTTGCCATCCACGAATGGCTTTTTTCTTGTCCTCCTCCGTGTATCCCTTTTCATCGTTTTCATATATCCTGATTGCAGAAAGTAAGTTCCACAAGCCATTTGCCGCCGTCACTCCCAAGACACGATTACACGTTCCCAGCTTGTGGACACCGCGTCATGCCGTGCCCATGGAACGACACGTCATTCCTGCCGTGGCGTTCCTGGCCTGACTCGGCCCAGCTTTGCATGTGTAGCAATGGCATGGGTTGGCATGCGCATGGCATGGGATGACGTAATTTGGCGTGGTATGGCATGTGAGGTAGCTAAGGCTGAGGGTGTGGCTTTCCTGGACTGCTCTTCCCAGCCAATTGCTGGTCTCAGTTTATCCCTTGCTCTCCCATTCTCTCTTGCCCCGCCCATTCTCTCGCGCCCCTTCCATTCTCCCTTACCCTTCCCATTCTGTCGTGCTCCTCCTTTTCTATCTTACCCCTCCCATTCTCTCTTACCCCTCCGATCCCCTCTTGCCCTTCACATATTCTCTTGCACCTCCCATTCTCTCTTGCCCGTCCCATTCTCGCGTGTCCCTCCCATCTTCCCTGCTGAGAATTCCCAATGCGTATCCCACCAGCCAGCATCACCCTTCCTGTTCACACCCTCACCACCCTCTGCAATCACATATTTTTCTTTTTTTCAATCACATCTGCGCCCTCCCTGTAAAATAACACTCCCGAATGCCAAAGAGCTCAGTTTGATTTTGTGCACTCTCTGTCTCTCCTACTCTTCTGCCTTTTCGCTCTACTTCCCTCCTGCTTGCCTACACTATCTATTCCCCCTCTCTTCACGTCCTTCCTCACTTCCACTCCTTTTGCTGTCGTTCCCCCCCCCTCACAATGCTGTCTCTTCACCAGCTGGTCCCCCCGGGCCATCAAGACGTTCGCATGGCGGAGCTGGAGGCTCGGAGGCTCGGGTTTCTCCGAGTGGACTCAACATCAGTCTCTCCCACCTAATAGGCGCACTCCCCCCCGCTGCCCTAATCTCTCTCCCGTTGTTCCCTCCCTCCCCGTCAGCTGGTCCGCGCGGGCCATCAAGACGTTCGCATGACGGGGCTGGAGACTCGAAAGCTTGCAAGCTCAAGTACATTGGAGTGTCCTGAACGTTGGTCCCTCCCACCTGATAGCCACATTGTGTTCCCCGCCCCAACCTCACTCTCCCTCCCCGCCAGCTGGTCCGCCCGGGCCATCAAGACGTTCGGCATGGCGGAGCTGGAGGCTCGGAAGCTCAAGTACCCCACCACTGGCACGGAGGCGCTGCTGATGGGCATGCTCACAGAAGGTCAGTGTTGTTCTGTGAATGGCTTTCATGCTCACTGTAGGGTTCAGTTACTGCTAATACCACTGGTAATTGTTCACCATACAGCACGACTCTACCATGGCACGAAGGCGCTGCTTATCGTGCGTACTGGGCATGCTTGCTGAATGCGGGCGTTGCTGTTGATAGCACTTGTTACCATGAAACCCAATAAAGCAATTTCGAGTGAACCCAGCACTGGCAGAGAGGTGCTGCTCACGGACTCACCAGGCACCAGCTTCTGCGCTCCCTCCCCCCCACCCCTCCACACACCAGGCACCAACTACGGCGCGCAGTTCATGCGGGCCAATGGCATCAAGCTGATGGACCTGCGGGTGAAGACGGTGGAGCTGCTGGGGAAGGCTGATATGTACTACTTGAGCCCTGAACATCCCTTCTTCCCCTTGCCCACTCCCACCTCACCTCCTGCTTGCTGCTCCCACCATCCCCCACCCCAGGCACCAACTACGGCGCGCGGTTCATGCGCGCAAACGGCATCAAGCTGATGGACCTGCGGGTGAGGACGGTGGAGCTGCTGGGCAAGGCGGACATGTACTACTTCAGTGCCGAGCACCCGCCGCTCACTGAGCCCGCCCTGGCCGCGCTGCAGTGGGCCATCGCCAAGCACAAGGAGCTCGGTGCGTTCTGTTGGGCTGTGCGTTGGGCTGTGGGTTGGGCTGTGGGCTGGGCTGTGGTTTGGGCTGTGGTTTGGGCTGTGGTTTGGGCTGTGGGTTGGGCTGTGGTTTGGGCTGTGGTTCGGGCTGTGCGTTGGGCTGTGGGTTGGGCTGTGGGTTGGGCTGTGGTTTGGGCTGTGGTTTGGGCTGTGGTTTGGGCTGTGGTTTGGGCTGTGGGTTGGGCTGTGGTTTGGGCTGTGGGTCTCGGAGTGTCTTTCTCACTGAGCCCGCCCTGGCTGCCCTGCAGTGGGCCATCGCCAAGCACAAGGAGCTCGGTGCGTTGGCTTGAGCTGTGCGTTGGGCTGTGCTCTCTGGCATGTTTGTACAATCCTGCCTTGTGCCGTCGTCTCTTGCTTCCTGCTTCCTGCTTCCTGCCTTATGCCTTGCCTGGTCTCCCTTGCTGCATGCTCCTCGTCTTGCCCTGCATTTGCTCCTGACTGAGCCTGCGGTGGCGGTCACTGCGCTGCAGAGGGCTTGCCACATATCTCGTCCGACAACTTGCCTATTGGTCCCCTCTTCAATGCTTCATGCCTCCCAGCACTCACTGCGCAAATTCCAGCAGCTCTTCTCATCACACCCTCCCCTCCCGTTCTCCCCACCTCTTTCCCCCTCCCCAACCCCCACTCCGCAACACACCCAACCCCTACCCCCACCCCACCGTGCTGCAACCCACCAGGGCGGACGGGGGAGATCTCAACGGCGCTCATCCTGCTGGGCATCTGGGAGCAGCGCGAGCCCGCCGCCACAAGCTGCTCGCCCAGCTCGGTGATAGTGACCTTCTTTCGAGACGTGTCAAAGCAAAGAGGCACGGGCCATTCAGACTCTTCCAGCTCTTCTCATCACACTCCCCCACCACATCCCCCCCAACTCCCTCTCTGCAATGCCCCCAACCACCACCCCTGACCGTGCTGCGACCCACCAGGGCAGACGGGGGAGATCTCAACGGCGCTCATCCTGCTGGGCATCTGGGAGCAGCGCGAGTGTGCCGGCCACAAGCTGCTCGCCCAGCTCGGCTTCCACGACGCCCTCGCCTCGCAACTCACTGCTGATGTGAGTAGCCCGCGCTCTTACGCACTCCCTCCCCACCCTCCTCTCCCACCCTCCAGGCTTCTCTCCCTCCCATCAGCCCCCGTGCCTCCCTCCCCCCGCTTCCCCCTCCCCCCGCTGACTTCCTTCATCCCTTCATACGGTATTACTCTCTCTCTCGCTCCTGTCTCACCATCCTGCCGCCTTTGTATGGCCCCATGCATGTGCGAGTAAACACACCAGTACACATGTTGCCCTCTTCACAGAAAAGGTTGTTTTTTTTCAAGCATCTTCTCCGAGTTGATACTGATTTCTTGTTTCTGTGTTTTTTTTCTTTTCCTCTGTTTGGGGTTTTCTGTTCACAGCTTTCAGCGGTCGCTGCCTAGAATTGAGCTGCAATGTTTATCTCCACCCCTAGTGTATTTGCTTCAAATGAAATAGTGAAACGTAAGCCAGGAGCAGTCGTACTATCGAATTTCAGATACACTAACGTGGATTTAGTCACCTCGCGCTCTCATCACAGTGGACCCATGGGTGAAATTGTCTCGCATTCCTCCAGCGATAGACCTACAGTAAGGAATTTCCGCTGTAGTGATCGTTGTCTAACCGTTTGCTGCCAGATTTTTCCATTTCGCGGCTCGTCGTCACACGCCCAATCAACAACTTGCGAAGACCACAGTCGTCGCAAACATAGTTCGCTAATTGCGAGCTTACTTTACCCTGTCGACAACAGTCGATACTTTCGTTCAGGTGTCCGGTTACCCTCTCGGCCGCTTCGCCTATCCCACCCTGCCTCGAATGTCATCACTGTTCTGTTGCCAGCATCAGCTACCTACCTCCCTTATAAGACTGACCTAAATTTCCGCGCAAAATTGCATTCCACAATTGTTCTCCCTCCACGAGCGCTTGTCGTAAACCATCACCGCTCTGAACACGAGTAACCGCTCGCGATCAGAGCCCGTTGCCTCTCAGCCCGCTGCCGCTGTTCATCGCCCTCCATCAGTTGCCTTATCGCCCGCGCATTCCTCCTCCCCCCAGCTCCTCTCGCTCCTCTCGCTCCTTCCGCTCCATTCGCCCGCCCATCCGTCTTGCTTCTAGCGGCTCGTTGCTCTCTTTCTTCAAGCGCGACGCGTGGTCGAGATACCAGGCGCCACACGTAGTTCCGCGGGAGCTCGCACCACCCCCCTCGCCCCTCACGCCTTCGGCTCCCCGCTCCACTCACTGCCCCCGTTCTCCGCGACTTTCCCCCTCCGCGTCCTCCCCTGGCCCTCGTTCCCTGTTATCCGATAGCGGATTCCGCGCCCCCTTTCACTTCCCCCTCCCATTCCCCTCCCCCACCCCCTTCGCTTCCGCACGGCCCGTTTGGCATATTGCGCGCGCACGTCCCTTCCGCGCGCCCCTTCCGCACACACTCTTGCGCGTCGTAGAGCAAACATCGGTCCGTTTGGAAGGCGCAACGGCCCGTTTGGCATATTGCGCGCGCACGTCCCTTCCGCGCGCCCCTTCCGCACACACTCTTGCGCGTCGTAGAGCAAACATCGGTGGTTGCGGATCCCACTCCCAGATTGGAATCCTTATGCGCTGCACTTTCACCGCTCGCATCTCCTGAACTGATTCCGCGTGGATCGCGGCGCCATGGGCGGGGATTCAGGACGCGTAATCCGCGGTCGCTCCGCGGTCTAGACGCGACTCGCCCTTGCCTCGCCTGCACCGACTCGTTAGAGGTACAAGACGCTTTGAGGCGCCAAAAAGTGGTTAACGGTACAAGATACTTTTTGGGAGGCAGAGTGGGTGGGAGGGAGGGCCCTTGGTTTGGTTCGGGTGTGGCCATGTGAGCCAAGTGCCCCTTGGTATAGGGGAAGAGGAGAAGGGGTTGGTATGGTATGGTATGGTATGGTATGGAATGGTATGGAGTGCAATGATACGGTATGGTATGCTAAGTATGGTACGGTGCAGTGCGGTGTGGTGTGGTCAAGCCACACCAGAGAGCGGTATGGCATGGCATGGCATACTGCATCCCATGTCAATCCATGCCATGCCATGGCATCCCGTTTGGGTAGAGAAATGAAAAGGAGATAACCATCGCTTTAGTCAAGCACAAAAAGTATCACGACGCCCATCACACAAGCAATGTTTCGTTTGCCGTCCATCGCACGAACAGTAGCACGGCTGCTGCCCATCATTGCACATAGTTTCTTTCCAGCACAGCGCCATGCCGACCCATGTTATCACTCCTCTTGAGCCTGTTGCCATGCCTACACATATGACTGAGATTTTGGCCACCACATGCCATGCAATGCCATTCAACGCCATTCTATCCCTGTTTTTCTATCCGACTCAAAGGCGACTTCACTTCTGTCCATCGCACCAGCGATATTCCGAGACACGTCTCCCTATATGACCCACGCTGTCCGCCATCTCATCCCATCCCATCCCATCCCATCCCACTCCGTGCCACGTCAGCACAGCAGCCATGGACGTGGCGACAGCGACCAATCTCCACACGCCACTTGGCGCCGCGGCAGGCGGCGCGGCCCCTGCATCAATGGCGCAGCAGTATGAGCTGGAGGTGGTGGGGGTGCCGACATACGGGGGCGCTTACACGCGATACGACATCTGCGGGCATATCTTTGAGGTGTCGGCTAAATACGTGAAGCCCATTCGGCCCATCGGACGCGGCGCGTACGGCATTGTGTGGTGAGTGGGGAATGGGGGGGGGTTTGGGGAGAGGGTAGTGTAGTACGTGTTCAATCAGTGAGCATCTGCATCGGTGACATGACATCCACACATCATGCAGCTCAGCGATAAACATGGAGAGACATGGAGACGAGGGGTTGGGTGGGGGGGGGGGGGATTGACAAGGAAGATCTCAACCGCCTTAGAAATGATGAACACCCATCCACATTCATCCACACCCATCCACACCTATCCATTCGTGCAGCTCCGCAGTGGACATAGAGACAGAGGAGGAGGTGGCAATCAAGAGGATCGAAAACGCCTTCGGTGTTATGGGCACCCATTAACAAACATTTGCACCCATCCACACCCATCCACACCCCTCCACACCCATCCACGCCCATCCAAACCCCTCCACACCCGTCCATCCGTGCAGCTCAGCGGTGGACATAGAGACAGAGGAGGAGGTAGCGATAAAGAAGATCTCAAACGCATTTGACAATCGCATCGATGCCAAGCGCACCCTGAGAGAGATTAAACTGCTGCGACACTTTGACCACGAGAATGTAAGGAGGCAGTGAGAGAACATGAGCTTGTGAGCAAATGCTTCTAGCCCATGGTGTGGTGTAGTGTAGGTGTGTCACGTGAATGAGGCACTTCAACTCAACTGCATTGACGCCAGGCGCACCCTGCGAGAGATCAAGCTGCTGCGGCACTTCGACCGAGAAACTGTGAGTCGGACGATCTCTGAGGCGTCCCAGAAACAAATTTTCATCGTTTCAACACGAGGACATGCGATGTAGATGTGGCAAGTTTTTGAGATGGATGAGCATTTGTGAGCACGCATCTCAACACTGCTCAATCGCATCGACGCCAAGCAAACCCTGAGAGAGATCAAGCTACTGCGGCACGTTGAGCACAAAAACGTGAGTGAATTGGATGCGTGCAGTACGAGTGCATTGGATGCGTGCAGTACGAGTGACTTGGATACGTGCAGTACGAGTGACTTGGATGCGTGCAGTACGAGTGACTTGGATGCGTGCAGTAAGAGTGAATTGGATGCGTGCAGTACGAGCGAATTGGATGCGTGCAGTACGAGTGACTTGGATGCGTGCAGTACGAGCATACGAGCACATGCACTTCAATCGCATTGATGCCAGCCGCACGCTGAGAGAGATCAAGCTGCTGCGGCACTTTGAGCACAAAAACGTGAGTGAAGCACACTTGGACCCCTTTTGACCACGCTGGACCCTTGGCAATAAGATCGCTTGAGCACGTGCTGCTAATGCATGACCCTGGTTTTATGTCCATCCATCCATCCATCCATCCATCCATCCATCCATCCATCCATCCATCCATCCATCCATCCATAGGCATGGGAAAGAGACTTTCTAGTCGGGTCGGGTCCTTATATTGGGATCGGACAAAATAGCCGACCCGTCACTCGGGTGTCCAAAGTCGGGTAAATACCCGTCGGGTCGAGAATACCTGACCCGAAGTCGGGTCACTAACCAGTAGTCGGGGCGGCTATACCCTTACCCCACAGGCTGTGCTTAGGTTACAATCTTGAGAGGTCGACAAATGTCGACCTTTCAGATCACAGATAGTGGGCTGGATCTGGCTATTGCGAGATCCAGCTCGGGATCTGGCTATTGCGAGATCCAGCTCGGGATCTGGCTATTGCGAGATCCAGCTCGGGATCTGGCTATTGCGAGATCCAGCTCGGGATCTGGCTATTGCGAGATCCAGCTCGGGATCTGGCTATTGCGAGATCCAGCTCGGGATCTGGCTATTGCGAGATCCAGCTCGGGATCTGGCTATTGCGAGATCCAGCTCGGGATCTGGCTATTGCGAGATCCAGCTCGGGATCTGGCTATTGCGAGATCCAGCTCGGGATCTGGCTATTGCGAGATCCAGCTCGGGATCTGGCTATTGCGAGATCCAGCTCGGGATCTGGCTATTGCGAGATCCAGCTCGGGATCTGGCTATTGCGAGATCCAGCTCGGGATCTGGCTATTGCGAGATCCAGCTCGGGATCTGGCTATTGCGAGATCCAGCTCGGGATCTGGCTATTGCGAGATCCAGCTCGGGATCTGGCTATTGCGAGATCCAGCTCGGGATCTGGCTATTGCGAGATCCAGCTCGGGATCTGGCTATTGCGAGATCCAGCTCGGGATCTGGCTATTGCGAGATCCAGCTCGGGATCTGGCTATTGCGAGATCCAGCTCGGGATCTGGCTATTGCGAGATCCAGCTCGGGATCTGGCTATTGCGAGATCCAGCTCGGGATCTGGCTATTGCGAGATCCAGCTCGGGATCTGGCTATTGCGAGATCCAGCTCGGGATCTGGCTATTGCGAGATCCAGCTCGGGATCTGGCTATTGCGAGATCCAGCTCGGGATCTGGCTATTGCGAGATCCAGCTCGGGATCTGGCTATTGCGAGATCCAGCTCGGGATCTGGCTATTGCGAGATCCAGCTCGGGATCTGGCTATTGCGAGATCCAGCTCGGGATCTGGCTATTGCGAGATCCAGCTCGGGATCTGGCTATTGCGAGATCCAGCTCGGGATCTGGCTATTGCGAGATCCAGCTCGGGATCTGGCTATTGCGAGATCCAGCTCGGGATCTGGCTTCCCAACCCCCCCCTACAACAATTTCCCCCCACGTATTTGCACACCTTCATGCGAAATGCTCTCCCAATCCCCCCCAAC